TCTTTTTCAAATTGTAATACTGTGTGTGAAATTTGATTTTGTTATATGATTTGTAGGATAGATTGCTTATGAAATAAATACAAGACTTATATCTAAGCCTGTGTTTATGATATATTGTATTTGTGAAGTGGCAGTTTTTGCAGTAGCTGTGAATTACTCAAGGCAAGACTTTTTCCTTATCTTGTGCATGAGTGAAGAACAGAAATAGATTTTGTCTTTCTAGAAATCTGTTTTTATCTAAGTTCTAGGGAGGGAAAAGTTAAAATATTGACATTTCCTCATTTTTATTTACTATTAATTTTTATTTTAATTTTCAGGTCAAATATGACTTTTTAGTAGTTCCATATGAAGCCATATGGGATCATTCATTGTTTTTATTGCTTCTCATTCTCTCTTAATTTCTCTAAATTTATGAGTTTTTTACTATAATATATTGGTCAATATCATAGCAGCATATATCCACAGAAACCCATAAAATATGCAATAGATTAAAAAAATGAGATGGACAATTAATTTAATAACTAGGTAAATAAATTGACATTTTAATTTTGACTACCCCACTTTTATTAATGAATGCAGTTTATATTTTTCTGTGCTCACAATGCAAAAAAACCATATAATGTATGAATTTTCCCCTAAGAGTTCAGTAGCAGTTCTTGTATGCTGTTCATAGTTATTAGATGCACTGTTCCTAAATAAATTACTCTGCTGAATTGTTTTGTATAAATACTGTTATGAATAGTTGACCTTACTTAAAACAGACAGCTTCTCATGATTCTGAATAATCTTCTCACCCTTCTTTAAACAGACCGTTATTGGCGATTGCTTTTATATTTTTATTATCTTTCTTTCCACTGTTCTCATATTTTCATTTATGGTACTGTTTTCCTGCTTTAAGGTAGATTTTTTCACTCTTATCATTATTGAAAATATTTAGATGTACATTTGGACTGGGCTAGTACAACATATAAGAGCTTTTAGTATGTAATTTATTATATAATTATTAAAAGAATATGTTGCAGTAACAAAGGTGAGCATTTAAAGATTAGAATCATAGAATGGTTTGGATTGGAAGGGACCTTTAAAGATTATTTAGTCCAGCCCCCTGCAGCGAGCAGGGACATCTTCAACTAGAGCAGGTTGCTCAGAGCCCCGTCCAATATGACCTTGAACATTTCCAGGGATGGGGCTTCTACCACCTCCCTAGACAACCTGTTCCAGTGTTTCCCCACTGTCACTGTAAAAAATTTCTTCCTTATATGTAGTCTTAATCTCCCCTCTCTTAGTTTAAAACCATTACTCCTTGTCCTATTGCTACAGGCCCTTTGTCATGGCTAAAATGTATTTTCCTCTGTTTCTTGAAGGTTAATGACTATTCTAGGCTAAAATTTACAAACAGTATTCAGGCTGAACGATCCACCAGCATACAAAGTTTCAGTCCAACCCATTATTTTTTAAAAAATTACAGTCAGTTGAAAACAGTGTGCTGTCGTGGAAACTTCAGTACTAAATTATGCTACCATCATGCCTGTTGTATTTGAGAAAAGAAATGGGATTAACTAGAAAGAGTTAAAGAATTTCCATGAACTTTTGATAAAGATCCCAGTATGTTACAGTACTCTAGAACACTGAGAGTTAAAACTTCATTTCTTTTGTCTCAATACTTTTAAGTGCTTAACTATTGGTAATTGCATCCCAATATATTTGAGCTACTTTGATAAAATATACAAAGTAGAAACAGATATAGATGCACTGAAGAACAAAGATTGAATTAATGGATAGATAGTGAAATTCCTTTTTAAATTATATTGGCAAATTCTATAATTAGATAATTAGAAAGAAACAGCTAACCCTATACACTAGAGTTAGAAAATATTTTAATTACTTGACCTTGCAGTCACTACTTCTCAAATTCATTTCAGCTGTATGTAAGTGTTTATACCTATGAAGGCACTTTAAAAAATAATGTTTTCAATCCCCCTTATTCACAAAGCAATCACATAAACTTTTTGCAGCTTTATAAACATATGAAAATATAAATATACAATTTAATATGAAGTACTGCATACTGGATTACCAGTTAAAGTATATTTGATATAAATGTTTTATTTCTTTGCAAATGATGGCAGGCAACTATCCAAAAACAAATTATAAGAGCCAGAACTATAGCTAAAAGAATGATATCTGGAAGGCACAAATGTGTGTTTATTATCTGTATTGCTTGTCAGAACTCCGCATGTGTGCAGAGTGAAAAGGAGGAAGAATAACAGGAATGATAAAGATACTATGATCAAAACATTAATCAGAGAAAATAATTTTTCGCTAAATTAAACAAGAATCTTTTCTGCTATGCACAATAGCTGGAGCACACAAAGAATTATTAAAGTTTAAAATTATGAGAATAAGAGGATGAAACAGTACTTTCCATAACAGAAGCTACACTGAGCAATGGCTCATATTTTCTTAACCTTCCAGATTACTTGCAGAAGCCCTTCTTGTAGGCCTTCACATCCCTTGCTAGTTTTAAACCCAGCTGAGATTTGGCTTTCCTCACTCCATCCTAAGAAAATGGAGCAATGTCTTTTTATCCCTGCTGGGTAGTCCATCCCTGCTCCCATCTTCTGTGGATTACCTTTTTACATTTGAGATCACTAGCTTCCTTTTCATCCATATTGATCTTCTGCCACGCTTGTTCTTTGGCTTGTCTATCGTACTTGCTTCCTGCACATCAGAACGGAATGTTCTTGTGCTTTGAGGAATTTGTTCTTGAAGACTGACCAACTGTCCTGGCCCCCTTTGCCCTCCTAGGGCAGTTGCCCATTCAATCCTGCCAAGAAGATCCCTGACTAGGCTAAAATCTGCTCTCCTTAGAGTTGTGATTCTACTATTTGCCTTGCTCGTTTCTCTGAGGATTTTAAACTCCACAATCTTGTGGTTGGTGCAGCCAAGGCTGCCCTCAACCTTCACATCTTCTACCAGTTCTTCATTGTTTATTAACAACATACTCAGTAGAGCATCTCCACTGGTTTCTTTATACATTGCCTGTATAAAGAAATTGTCTTCAACAAATTCTAGAAATCTGCATTCCTTGCACCCTGTCATATTGCCATGATGGCGGATACTGGATTGGTTGAAGTCTCTCATGAGTATGAAGACCTGTGATTGTTGGGCTGCTTCAGGCTGTCAGAAGAAGACTTCCTCTACTTTCTTGATCAAGGAGGCTGCAGCACACACCTACTAAAGCACCACCTGTATTGGTCTGTCCTCCGATCTCTACCCTCAGCTGGCTCATAACCTGTTCCTAGGCAAAGCTCTGTTCACTCCTTTGCCTTGACTGAAACTTCTCCTTCCCTTCCTTTCTGGCAGGTTACTTCAGACTAGACAAAAGTAAGGTTTTTATTAAAGATGCATCTTACAGATATTCATTAGGTATGCGTGCTGTTCCTCTTGGCAAACCAAATTGCAGGGTCGTGACTAAAGTAATTTATTGCAATAGACTGATTTTCATCAACTAAGAGTGGATTTTAGGACTTGGAATTCATTTCACTTTTAATTCCTTAAGTATAACAGAGAAATAAAAATCCTATTTTTATAATTTCTGAGATCTGGAATCACAGATTATGCATAATTCTCTAGGACAACAGATTATATTGTCATTTCTGAGGGAACTAAAAAGATTTTTTTCAGAATTAACATTGTAGTAAGAAGTGAGCCTTTAATTAAAAATAATACTATTTTAGCTTAATTAAAAATATTTTAAAACTTATTTTTTAAATATAAGTTGATATGTTATGCAGATAATTTTATATATTTAAACTTTATGTATATTCATGTCTTGTTTTAAGTCTTGTAAAACATTTAATATAAGAACAAAATTATATGCTATAGAAGTTAAAAATAGTTGAGTGTACTATAGTCTTGTAGTGCTTCATAGTCTCTATTAAAGCTGGTAAATAAGAAGCTATTGTTTGCTTCAGTGAAAGAAAATTTAAAAACAAAAGAAAAGAAAACACTACATGATTGCACATCGTCAGTAATAGAAAATAAGTCAAAACTCAGTATAAACAACTTCCTTCTTCACTCTGTCTAACAATTAAGTAGTCCAGTCTTTCTGAATAATACATTTTTTATTATCAAATTAAATTCTTGGAAGTCAAGCAAAAGAGGAGAGAACTAGTAAGTTGTTCTCTAACATGTCTTGCAAAAAAAGCATTGTGAAAAAACCCTAAATTTAGCTAAAATACCTAAAAATACCAGGAGTTTTATATGCAGTTTAAGGGACAGACTGCAATATCACAGAAGAATTTTAATTTCAGTATTCTTTCTTTATAAAAGTACACATATATTTGATCAGTTTATGTGTGGAGTTACCAGCGTTATTAACAGTAAAAGACAGTTGAACCTAATAAACTGGAAGCTCCTCATCTTTCTGAAAATTTTGCAATTATTCTTTTAATTGCTTACTTATTTTCTTTAAACTAATAAATATGCATTTAAATAATTTGAGGTATCTAAGAGATCTGTGGGAGATCAGAATGAATTGATTATAATGGTCTTGGAGTTTTGATGCCTGATGGATACTATGTGTATTTAGTAATATATTTGGGTTTTTGTTTCTCTTTTTTTTAATTACAGAGGGAGCATAGCTAAAGGTAGAGCTTGAATTTTGTCTGTAGATTTTGTGAAAAAGAAAATTTTTTAATTAATTATACACCTCAATAGTTTTAAAATTATAGTTGGACAAATAAAATAACTGATAAGAAAAATATGGATTTTTTTTGTTTGTTTGTTTTGGGCTTAATATGAATGAGGCTCAAGTATGTTTTATATATGGATATGGGTATTATTTGTGTTCTGAATAGATCATTATTAGTAGTCAAGTATGCAGCAAAGTATAGTTCATAGATAAATCAGAGTATTTGCTATTGTATCACATTTTTGTATTAAAAGAAATTTGTTTATCCTTCTTCAAGATTTGCATTTTTATTCTCATCACTCAGGTCATTTCACAGCTTCGGATGCTGAGCAGGTCAGTAACTGCTGGCTGCAAATTTGACAGAGAAATATGGTCTACTGAACTTTCTCCTGTTCTCAACCTATGGAAGAAACTTAATCAGGTAGGAAAGTAGCTAATTTGAAAAGGTTTTTTTTCTTTCCACTGGTAACTACATTAAAGATAGGGTTTAAGGAATTATCTTGAATATTGAAACATAAGAAGTGAAAAAGTAAATTAAATGCATTTGAGGTGGGAAATACAATGTTACATGTATGTAATGACTTATGAAGTCTGTATGTGGGATAATAGATTATAATTTTTTTTCCTCTATATGGAAGTAAGACCACACCCACAAGATATGAGACTAACATCTTGTATGTGTTTCCAAGAAGAACACTAATATATTTTAGATCAGAATTTAGTCTCTTCATTTTTCTAATATTCATAATACAATGTTTAATGATTTTAAATATTAAATTAGTTTTTCCTATATAATATTGTACTATGGTACTAGCTTTAAATTGACATTCATTAAAATCCTTGCTACAATGCTTGCAATATCCAGTATCACTTGCTTTTTGTTCCTTTATTGTTCTGGGTTGGTCCAGTTTGGTGGTGGTGTTTTACATATATTGTGAACCTTGATTTCCAGCCATTGAATTCTTAATGTGGGTGTCAGTTTAGCTGTAATGTGTGCAAATTCTCTTTGAAATGCAGATAGTATGCATACCTGGGAAGGATCCCTCTCACCTCATGCTAGGTGCCTACCTAGACTTGTGGCCATTATTTTTCTCCTCGGTGATAAGTAATAGATCACAGACATAGTGGCCTAAAAACATGTCTGGTACACAACAGCAATGAAATGAGAAAACCCTTTCCCTTACTCAAATAACCACATACAAAGAAGTGACATGAGGTGCAGATTAAAATTTACCATTACATTTTGAAATCTCTCATTAAATTTTCATGCTAAGTGTATGGTACATCATGTTTTTGCCAAAATAATCTTTTGGGTTTTTTATTCAAATCTGTGGCCTCTGAACGTGGACCACTGTTGACCAGGTCTGTGATCCTGTAAGAAAAAGCAATATAGTTCAATGTGATACATTCCATCGTATCTTACTGACTAGAGATAAATAGACTTTTAGGCCTGCAGACCTTCCTTAGAAGAGCTCAGATGAAATTGTTGCATATATGTGTATACATATGCAATCAGAAAATTAGAGAGTTTGATTGTAGTGTTTGGAGAACTGATAAATGAGGCCAGTTTTAAACAGTAAAACAAAACTGCAGTACATTAATACTCATTAACAGCACATGTTGCTAATGGCTAGTTCTTTATTAATCATTAGCACTGCAAATTCAAAGGACATATTCTTTAAAACTTGTGTCATAAAATAGCTGTGAGTATGCAGTACCATGAAGCTGAATCCACATAGTCACCACTAGTGTCTATGGTCCTTGACGTTCTTAGTCACCCAGGTGGAGGTAATCAAGCCTGAGAGGTCGCTGATAAAGGAAGCTGGACCTGACACAGGACTCATCTTTCTCCTCTACTGTTGTTCTCAAATCTGGGAGCTCCTTTTAATTCTTTATGTTGCCCTTCCTCAATGACCAGTAGGTGGCCATCATCATCTTGTTTATATTTCTTGGGCCTCTCTTTTCAGACTGTGCCCATACTTTCAAGACCTTCACTACTGTCCCACGCTTCAACTTCATATCATCACACAAGATACCTGCTACTGAATTCCCTTTCAAACAGCAAGCTCTCTTAACGAGTTGATAAAAAGTCTAGAAGGCCAGTACTGGGGCCCTGCACAGTTAGCATGAGACCTAGTTAGTGTGGCCTGTTCCTAGCAAAAGCAATTTTTTTTTTCTTTTTTTTTTACAGGACTATTGGGTACAAAAATTGTCTGTATTGTTTGCTATGCTTACTGTATTATGTTTGGGTTAAAAAATGATAATATTAACTAAATCTTATGCTTAGAGTGCAGTACTTCTGTGGATGCAGGAGGCCTCTGGTTTAGCTACAAAATCAATCTCTTCACTAAGGATTAGCATCAGCCTGACTGATTTATAATGTCTGGGTAATCTCTGGCTAATCCCTTACCACTGACCATCCTGCCATTCTTCAGTTTCCTCCTGTGAGCTACCCTGTATCTTGTCTCATTCGGAGGACTGAGCAGCTGGTTTCTTTCTGACTTTTGGATTTGTTGATTTGAAAATAGCCATTTTTTACCACGCTGTCTGAGAACTTTCTTTAGAGATGTAAAATGCTCTCTTTGATCGATGGTGTCATAAGGGCTTAATTTGATTTCCTAAAAATTAGGCTTCTAGCACTATTTAAGAAACCACCTGTGGTCTGCTAGAGTGGCATCTAGAAGCAGAATGAGACATCCCAAGTGTCACTAGATGCTTGCCTGAAATAAAGGCTGTGGTACCTATCTATTTTGCTTAATCTTAAATACAGAAAAATTAATTATTCAATATCTCTGTGTTTTTACTACATTTTTACTGCTCATAATACCTTAAAAAAAAAAAGCCTCCTATATTATCTTGAGCTTTCTTTGATTTTCTAATATTTTTGTGCTGTTAGCAGATTAATTTCTTTATCTTTGGAAGATCTCATTTAGAATGGGATGGCCTTTGACCTTGTGTAGGGTTCAGCTGAGAGTTTGTGAATTAGGATTAGAAGTCAACATTATGGTGGGTGTCTGCTATGGGCCACCTGATCAGAAAGAGGAAGATGAGACCTTTTTCACATGCCTGGAAGAAGCCTGACATTCTCAGAGCCTGGTCTTTGTAGGGGAATTTACCCACCCTAATATCTTCTGGAAGGACAGTGTAGCAGGGCACAAGCAGTCCAGGAAGGTTTCTGTAGTGCATGGATGACAAATTCCTGACTCAGATGATGGAGGAATCAGTAAGGGGAAGCACTCTGTGGGATCTCGTTCTTGCCAAGAAGGAAGAACTTGTTGAGGATGTGAAGGGTGGGGGCAACCTTTTTTACAGTGATCATGAGATGGTGAACCTCAAGATTATGAGAGGAGGGAAACAAGCAAAAAGAGGATGATGACCCTAGACTTTAGGAAACTAGACCTTGTCCAATTCAGGGACCTGCTTCAAAGAACCCATGGGACACTGTCCCGGAGAGCAGTCCTGGAGAGCTGTTTGCTTTTCAAGGAGTACCTCCTCTAAGCTCAGTGGTCAATCTCAAAATGCAGGAAGTCAAGTAATAGCAGCAGGAGGCCTGCATGGATGAGCAAGGAGCTCCTGCCAAAACTCCAATGTAAAAAGGAAGTGAAGAGAAGGAAGTGGGGATAGCTTATGTGGGAGGAATACAGAATTGTATTGTAAATACTCAGACACTCATTATAAGTTTGCATGAAAGACTGTTTACTGAAAATGAAGCCATCACTAAATAACTTGTCAAAAAAAATGTTACACAATTTTTTTTTTTTAAATCTTCCTTAATGTGGAAGGACAGCCCACTACAGCCTGTTGGCCAGGGCTGGGCCATCAGAGTAATTCAGCCAGCCTGTGTCCTGGTGTCCGTTCTCTTCCCACATGACCTTCTGCCATTACAGACTGTAGATCAGGACCTGTATAAGCACTTAATTGCCACATAACTGGATCAGTTGGAAATCTCTGTCCAATGGAACTCAGGCATTGCCCATCATATGATATTTTTCAGAGAAGTACAAAAATATCAGGACGCAATAGGACTGCATAAATGTTTCATGTCTTGTCCTGGTTTTTAGCTGGAACAGAGCTGGGTTTCTTTTTCAGTAGTTAGAACAGTGCTGCGTTTTGCTTTCAGCCTGGGATTTGTTATGAAAGAGACACTGGTAACATACCAGTGTTGGCATTTTTGTGGATTGAAGTGAAGGACTTTTTGTTCTTTTATTCTACAAGTGCAATATTTAATGGGGGCGAGGAATATTTAAATTAATAAGATAAATTGACATTTGGGTATACCCATGAGATATTCCATGTCATATCACATCACATATATTAGTGAGGGTCTCTCCCTCTTTTGACTCTTTCTGGCTTTCGCTTGGGCTCTCGGTCTTCCAGGAACATGGTTTCAGTTCGGGATTGGGTATACCCATGAGATATTCCATGTCATATCACATCACATATATTAGTGAGGGTCTCTCCCTCTTTTGACTCTTTCTGGCTTTCGCTTGGGCTCTCGGTCTTCCAGGAACATGGTTTCAGTTCGGGATTGTTGCTCCTATGGGATCAGTATCTGGGAACAGGCTGGGCTTGGTCAGCAGGTGGTGAGCAGTTGCACTGAGTATCACTCATTTGTATATTTTGTTACTGTTGTTATCACTACTATTTTAATATTAGAATTATTTTAAGTTTTCTTTTATTTCTGTTATTAAATTGTTTTTATCTCAACCTATGCATCTCCTCACCCTTGCCGCCAATCCTCTGCCTTGTCCCCTGGGGGTGGAGGGCGAGTGGGTGAAGGGCTGTGTTGGCTGCTAGCCAAGGGCTAGCCCAGTGAAACTATGACATGTCCGAATGGCTATCTGTCATGAGTAAAGAGAGACAGGAATCGGTGCTATGCTTTCGTTGTAAGGTGGATGCATTTTTCTGAAACTCTTTAATACTTCCATGAATATTATAGAGCCCACCCATAATAAAAATTTGGAAGCAACTGCTTCAAAATGACTTTTGCTGAATATATGGTCATAAGCTGTCATGATGTGTTTGTACCTTTTGTCGTGTTTGTAAACTGAAGACAAAGTTGCATAATGTTGCATGACAATTGTAAAAGTAGTTTTGAAAATTAATGGGTTGTTGCTTTTTTATCTAAAACATTAGGAACTTCAGCTTTAACAAAAGATCAATGTTTTTTCCACCAAGGAAAATCAGTGAAGCAGAAATATAGGACCATTCTTTTTTGTATTTTCAACAATGAAAAAATTGTGTAATAAACAGAAATATAATAAATAATAGGCAGAGAGACTCAAAGGAGGAGGCAGAATAGGTACAACAAAAGGCCAATGGCAATTTCTAAAACCCACCACCACCAAAACTGAATTTTTAATCAAATGCAAAACTAGTGGAGGTATATGAGTTTATTGTCGTTATATTTGCTACATTTCTGAGGGGGCAATTTTCAGAACATATTGGAGTTTGAAAAAGCTTGAATTTAGGAAGGTAACAAAGAAAAGATCTGGATTAGCTTAGGTGAGACTATATGAAGTCTTATATTGTACTGAGTAAAAAGTACAGAAATGAAAGAGGGAAAATGATCAAAGTCTCAAAATACACCTAATTTAATATTGGTAGCATAATATAGTATTTAATGTTAAAGATTAGAACCTACCTTCAGTTTCTTGCGATTAGGAAAAGTACTCAGTACTTCAGCAGTTCTTCATCTTAATTCCCAAGCAGGTCATGAGGATATTTTTAAAGCTGATGTGAGTTATATACATAATGGATTTTAAGGGAATGTAATAGCACATTAAATGTATAAGCTGCTATCAGTATTCATGTTTAATTTTCCTATAAAAAATGACAGATGGGTTGTTTTAACAAATTCTCAGGAGAAAGCATTAAAAAGAATGATGAAATGAATATGCAATTCATGGGAGACTGTTATGTAAAGGACGGTATTGAAGAATTTAGAGGTCTTCTCTTTCAGTAATTTTTTCGTGAATTAAGACAGTATATGTGAAAGACTGAGCAAAACCTACAAGTTACAATGTCTTTGTTCTTCCTTTTTTGTGCAATTAAATACTCCAAAAAGAAATGATCATCTAGCTTGTGTTAGTTTTACATTGCATTTTATATATATTGAACAAAGTATGGTCTCAGAAAAAATTGGAGTGAAACTGGTAATGTGATTTTAGGATGCATGGAAAGACAAAATGCAAAACATAATGTTTCTAAATACTGTATGTGTCTTACACTTGGAACGGTAAATAACTTTGTTGTGTATCTTTTTTATAATGTGGGAAGGAACTTATCCTTCATTTTTCCATCAGTCATAAACCAAAGTATCTGTATTACACTTTCACTTAAGTTTTCTCATATTTTTTCTTGGTTGTTGAGTGCAGTATGAACTTGAAATGAAAAATATATGAAAATTCTTACAAACTTGCAGTGCCTGAGGATGATTATGGAGGCAGACTTCCTGTATGTTCTGGAAAGCAAGATGCTATGTGAAAATTCAGAAGTTTATTTAATCTGAAAAAAAATCAAAACTACTTGTTACTTTAAGAGGAAATACTTCAGAGGAAGTAAAATCTGATTTTGCCTTTAATAATTTACTAGAAATTGAAATAGCAAAACATTTTTTTCCCAAAGGCTAGGGTTGTCTTTTTGCATTTGTGCCTTGTAGAATTTTCCAATAAAGGTTTAAATTCCATAACTGGAATTCAGTGCAGCATCTTGTCACATGTCAAGTCAGCAGTTTCAGAACACATGCTAAAGTATATTTATTTAATAAGCTGCATATGAATTAAGTTTTGCAAAATGATACCATCTCTTTAAATTATTGAGTAAATTTGGATTTTCAGTGGCTGGAATGGAATGGAATTGAATGGTAGAAATAAAAATGTCAATGTGAGAGCAGCAGTACCTCTCAGTGCAGCAGTACCTCTCAGAGTCTGAGTTACTTAATATTTACATATAATATTATATGTATTTTTTAATTTATTATTTATTTGCATTTATTTTGCTTCCAAATTGAACTAGTCTTTATCAAAGCAAGAGCTGTATCTGGCAGTGGGGTTTATAGTACTCAATCCAATCTTGTTATGCTGAGTACACTACTGCTTTTTATATTTACATATTAACACAAATGCTAAAAGCAGTGATTCAGCTAAGTGAAGATTTTTCATAAATTCCAGTACTTTGGAAGTAATTCAGTAGACAGCGTTGTCTCAAAACAGTAGTGCCTCTATTGAACATCTCACAGATAACACTGAAAGTATCATTGTAGTTTAAATCCAGTGTCAGAAAATGGGGAATATCTGAATTACTTCAAGGCTAACGAGATCGTATAGAGTATTATGAATTAAACAAATAATATGCTGTATAACATAGTAGTTTCCCCTGAATTTATTAACTGGACATCACATTAATTTTTTTAGAATTCTAACCTGATTCATCAGAAGATGTCTCCTCCTGTGGAGCAACAAGGGTCTCCAATCTTATCATTCATTACTCTGGAACAATTCAGTGCCATTCGCCTTGTGCAAAGTGTCCATCAGTCACTTGCTTCTTTAAGTAAAGTCATCAGAGGTACCTCATTACTGAGTTCTGAAGTACAAAGACTAGCAAGTGCTCTGCTAAATCAGAAGGTAAGTCATCTTGTCATGAATTTACATTATAAGCACTGAAAAAAACAAGGAAATTGAACAAAATTCTGATACATATTTTCATGTCACCCTTTGCTCTATGTTATTTTATTGATAGAGACTCTAAAAAAGCAATGTGAAATGGAGTTCTTTTATTGATGGTGACTCTAAACCAAAACCATGATTTTTCTAGAATGAAAACCCAGAAAAATGTTGCTTCAAGTACTTGCAGAAGCTTCTGAGTATATTATACTTTTATCAAGCTTTCTCTTAAGGACAAATCTGATAAGATTAGAAGTTGTGGAATAATATTTCCATTTCAAATACCAAATAATACTAGATAAGTCAAATATATTAGCCAGTAATATGTAAACATGTAAATCTGTCCTTTTTTTTTCATTTTTACAGTTTCTTAAAATTTAGAGTTGTCCTGGTTTTGCTAGGATAGAGTTGGATAGAGGGGAAGTGGGTGAACAACTGTGTTGGCTGCTAGCCAAGGGCTAGTCCAGTGAAACTATCACAGGTTTTACTGCAGTTGTAATCACAATTTGCTCTCTGCATTTATTTAGTATGGATTATTGCCATATCACACCAGACAAGCTTTGCCTATCATTTCAACCTGTCATCTCACTCTGTATTCTTGATATACAAAAAAAGAAACCAAAATTTGACTTTCTCCGTTTTCTGGCATCAAACTGGACATGTTTAGAAACTGGTACAATTAGTGACTGCAAATTTACATGCTCTGTCACTAATAGCTAGATAACTGGATTCCAAAGTTAGTTAAACATTGACGTGACACTCTGTGGTTTTGTTTCACCTGCAGCAATTAATAAATTTTGTTGATGCCAATGCATAGATATTGAGATTGGCCCTACTATGAATGGTAATTCCTATTCATATCTTGTTTATCTTCATGGGAGGAACAAGTACCATTAAAAAGATTGTTATGCATTTATTGATCTATCAAATTTCTAATTAAAACAATAATTAAATTATTTGTCTTTTCAGATTCACAAGACAGCATTTGTTAGCAAAAATGCAGTACAATTATAGTAAATTAATATTTTCATGTTAGCAATCTCATTGCCTTTTTAAACATGTTTTGACTGTGTAGTAGAAAATGGTGCTGAGTACAAGTCATAGTAAATGCAAATGATAGATGTAATCGTCGTTTTTTAGTATTTACAATTATATTCCTTGTTACTGAGCAAAGAGTATGGCTTGCTTGTGAGCTTAAGCTGCACGCTTAAATTGGAAGCAGCAGGAGCTATGAAGCTGATCAATCACAAAAATGTACTTAAAGATTCTATGCATTTTTATCTCTCACAGACATCAGTTCAGTCCTTTCTGATATATTGAACAAAGTGTTTCTGGCATTTCATCTGCTTACTTACCTACTTACCTTGACACAAATTACTTTATTGGATTGTGACCACAAAGCACTCTTTTCAGCAGCCCACCAGAGAGTCTTAATGCCATGTTCTTGGCATGGCAGCTAACCCTCATGGCAACTAAATGCCACTATATTTATCATCTTAAAGTGATTTTTTTGGTGTATTTTCTATACACTGATCTTGTTTAGTTTAGCATGGTCACACGTTATGTAGCAAAGGACTAATTTTAAAACTTATCTTTTAAAAGCACCAAGGTTATAGTTCTTTTAAGATGATAGCACCTAAAGAAGCTCCTAGATTACCAACAGAAATGTGAAACTCAGTAACTGTGTGAATTCTAATGGTTTCAGAGATGTGCATTGTTCATGCAAAATTGATATGCTAGTGTACATCTGAAGTATGCTTCCATACTAACAATTAGCTAATCTATTACTTTAAACTTAGAGTAATTTAGGGTGATCCATTAGCAACAGTAGGTGAATGCCTTCTAAATGATAGATTGGTGAGCTGCCTGTAAATTCATATCTAGCAGAAGAATCTGCAAAAATGTGTTGATAATAGTTTCAAATACAAAAAGTTTTTAAAAAATTATAATTATGCAAAAAGCATGCAGTTAACTGTGCTTTATTAATTGTCTTTTATGTATTCTAGTTTACTGAATGCATTATCAATTAGTGTTCCCAGATCCAGATATTTTCAGGTTTTTATCTATAAAATGTACACATTGAGGATTTACTTTGAAAGATAGTTTTTCTTATGAACTTCCGTGATTAGATTTTGAAAATCTTTTCAGCACATATGCTATTAGATTGTGAACCTCCTTGAAAATGCAACTGTAAACATTAAACAGTATAAACTGTTTACACTGTTCAACATTATCTGTATAGTGCAATATTCCCCAGGTAATGATTTACTTCAGTTCTTTTTCACATAAGTAGGGGAATCTTGCAGTCAATTTCAGTGTGTTTTACGGATTCCCGTGGAGTAGGCACAATTAATGTTTTTATCCTTATTTTATAAAGAGGGAATCCAACAGAAGATCTTTTAAGACTTCCTTTTTAAAGTCAACGACAAATTTGTATGGGGAAGTCTTGCATGATTTTATTCTTAGGTATTCTATAAACATTTTAAGATGATGAGAAAATAATCATGTGGAGGAATTGTACTAGATTCACTTCACCACAGAGCCATGCAACTGCATGTTCAAGTCTGAGGAAGCAGCAGCAAAGGAGTGGGAACCTGTGGCTGCAGTTGAAAGGTGCCATTGTGGCTTTGCAGGAAAGAATCGATTTAGACCTTTTTGAAGTGTTTGTGGAACCTACTGGTGTTTCCTTATTAAAAAGCAGAGATTCTTGTAAGTTCTCCATCAGCACTGTATCTCTGTGAGCCACATAAAGAATTAGCAGGAATATGACCTTCCTATACATGGTTGTATTCTTTGATCATTATATTACTTGTATTGCCTTTTATCTTTGTAGATGTATTTAATCTCTGGATTATTTAATTTCATTCAAATTGCTATTTTAAGATGTAATGGTGATGGTTTTGAAATGGATACTTTCATTAAATATATTTTTATTTCAGTGTCCCCTCGCCTGGCAAAGCAAGTGGGAAGGTCCAGAAGATCCTTTACAGTATCTTAGAAGTCTTGTAGCTCGAGCACTTGCTATACAGGTAATTTTAAAGAGTCATTTTACCTCTCTATGCTGGTGTTCAGTGGCATGGTATATTATATGAATTGCACTACAGTAGACCTTTCCAAACTCAAATCCCAAAGAGTTTTACATGTGTGAAAAGGCAGGTAAAAATTAAAGATAGATGAGAAATGTGAAGACAGCAGACTGAGCAATTTGAAGTCAGTAACTTTCAATACCATAATGTTGTTAGTTGCTTCACAATAGATTTACAATAGATTTACACCTTAGATTAGTCATTAGTCTTTCTGATGAACTGTGGGGAAAAAAGATAGATTCATTTACTCAGATGAATCTTTACATCTAAGTCAAGACACACTCTTTAATCTGGTAGAGAGTTACGTGAATCAATTCTAATAGAGGTAATGTGGAAATTCATACAAGACTAGTCTTTGAAGCAAATAAATAAAATATCTGCAATCTCCAGATTTGCAGGGGGCTATAACTGAACGTGCATAGTCTGAAAACAGCTCTGTCAATCCAGAGTCTGACAGTGAAGAAGATAATTTTTAGTTAAGGTAAACCTAGCTATACTTTAATTGACAGAAGACATATATTCAAGATAATAGACAAACAAATAAAAAAAAAAATTATCCAAATTAATTAGCATTTAAAGAAGCAGATTTCTTCATTTTGGATACTTAGAGAGGGAACTGTGAGAACCTTACAGACAGGAATGTTCCTTTAGGAGGGAAAGGTCTATTATTACCTCCAGGCAATACAATGCTACTGATGTTGACCTTGATTAACACAGTCTTGTCCAATGAGGTATGATGATGATTTCTATAAACATCAGCATGGACTTTAAGATTTAGAAGGAATATTTGAGGGGCACGTGATTTCTAGGCATTACTTTTTCTAAAGAAACTATCAAATTGATATTTCCAAAGCATTAATAAGATTCTTGTTATACAAACCATTTCTTTTGGCTAATACTTAGTTTTTCTTTATCCTTTCCTTCACAAAAAGGTTCAAATTATAAATAATAAAGTGTGAATGTATATGTAGCAACAAGTTATAATGCACGTTCATATGTTATTTGGTCACATAACTAGAGTTGAACTTAGTCCCTTCTGTTTTTTGCCTATTATAGTTATTATTATAAAAAACCCCATAATTTGTAGCTGAGTCAGCAGCGTTCATAATCTTCAAGAGTGCCTTGCATTTTGTAACTTTTACCTTTATTTAGTTGTTAGCAAAATCCATTTTCCTACTTACATGATTTTTTGTTAAATGGAGGTCTGAGATTAGAGTTCAAGCTTCTGTGTAGTGTGCACCTCCCATACAAAGTGGAGATAATGTGACAAAGAGTAACAGGATGGAATTAGTGTTAACAGTAATAGATGATTTTCAGCAAAGCATATTCAAAAAAGTTTTCATTTCCATATATTACACCAGGCAGCTATTGAAAAACGTGCTGCATTATATTACCATTACATTAATCTTGCTTTCTCTTTGTTCAAACTGCTGATAAAATTGTACATTTGGCTTACTCATTTTTATTAAAGCTATTATGAAGAAATAACTTAAAATTTTAAACACGTATTTACTGTAAGTGAGGTACAGGTTATTGAGGCAGAGCTGTACAGTAGATATTCAACTGTATCCTTAAGCAGTAAATTGTGTTAATTTTTTTGTCAGGGACAAAAGAAAGTAGTGAGAGATGACAAATACTGATTCTTAAGTTTTTTATATATATTCTTGTCAAATATGTAGTACAGTTGTATTTGAAGCAATTCTTAATAATATATCATCAGTCTGTTTTGCTTCTCAAGCTTCTAATCAGATTACATCTGAAATACAATTTCTATGGTTTTATTTTTGTATGTATTTTACCAGAAAAATGTTGATTATTTCTAATTATGCATTTCAGTTGCATAATCTTTTTCCTCAAATATGATTCCAATTTGTATTTGTGCATAGTACACCAAGGTTTTTATTAGCCCTGGTAATTTTTTAAATAACTTCCCTTTTTTGTGACTTTTCATTATTGATTTTGTAAGTGTAATTAATCATTAGTTACTTCTAGATTTAGTATTCAGAAATTCAATAAAGGCTTCAGTAAAGATTTTCTCATTTCTCTGAAAATTATCTTCAGATTTATATTTCAATATAGGCCATATTTTGGATTGATTTAGTTTTATGTGACCAACTCCATCATTATGGTTTTTTGATAGTTACTCATACCTCCATCTTTTTCATTCACTATAAGATACTGACTTCTACCTTAACTGTTTGAGACAGGTTTGATTTAGGTATTTTTCAAGAGGAAAATAGGAGACCTTGTAACATCAAAGATGTACTGAAAGATTGCATCTACTAAGGATGCAGTAATTCTCTACTTAGGGTATTAGTTAAAAGCTGACATCTTGTCAAGGTGTTTGCTACCAGTGCAGAAAATAATAAAAGCAACTGCTTTGTTACAGACATTTAATGGGGATGGGGAGGAAACCAAAATACAGGCCAGATGGTAGAATAATTATAGCAGAATTTATAGAAGTGTAAAGATGTTCTGAGAGCATTACACAACAAGAGACAAAAAACCCAACAGGTGTTGCATTTCTCAGGTCTGAATCCACTCAGTAAAAGCAAAATAAAAAAAGGAAATTTGCCTACTTAAAGTGTGAACAAATCCATATAGGCAAAATGCAACAGAGCTATGTTTTGCTGTGTATTATGCTGTGGTGATAGAGCTGATGGAAATGTGTGATTTCTTCCCAGGTGGAAGTTCTAATATTTGGATGTTAGATTTTGCTTAATTAAAACAAAAAATCTGTCTATGGAAAATTCTTCTAAGATGAAGAGCTCTGAATGCTTTCAATTAGCAATGCTGGCATTGAACATTACAATATTGTGTTTCAGCTTATCTGTCTACAGTGATTTCTTTGCTATCAACATTAAGATATGAAGCTTATGGATCATCACAGATCTTTGTGTTAGTTGTAATTCTTGATTCTTAGACTCCCAGTTTCGTCACGGTGGCATCTTAAATGTGTTCTGTGGTTTCCCTCTCTTGAGGCAGCATTAAATATACATCAGTATATAATGGAATTTAAGTCTATCTCAGTCTGTAGATAAGTGTCTTCTCATGGCTGTTGATACCAGCAGGAGAGAAAGAGAGAAAAGAGACCCAGAACTACAGCTATTAAGAGGTAAAACAGCAGCCCAGGCAAATGTCAGTTGAATATCAAAATTGAAAAACTGTTTCAGGTCAATAAATTGGAACTTCTTTGTTTCTGCAATAACTGAATGAAGAGCTTTATTTCACTTCTTCCAAAAAAACCCTTCTTTTATTCCAAAAAGATCTTATAAATGCTTTTAAGTCATCTGCAAAAACAGTTCTTCCTTTGGATGGCTGTTTGGTCAGACAGCTGCTAAAAGGCTTACAGCATACACTGAAAATGAAGACTACTTGACCTCAGAATCATAAACACTAATTTCAAAGTTGTAATCAAGGAAATTTTTATGAATACTGAAAGTTTTTATTTGCATAAGTTATGAAAGTTTTTGTTGGAAATGTGTGTTTATCTATAGAGTACTTATAGTCTGTATAAAAGTTATATTTCATATTTTATCGAGAGACTTGTATGTATCTCTCTAGGATGCTGTAATCTTTTGTCCCTTCCCATCCTGAGTGAAATCTAGGGTAATAATATTTAATTTCAACACTAGTTTGACCCCTCAGTATAAAATTTTCACTATTTTACTTCTCTCTTACTATTTGAGGTAGACTGACTTTGTTTCTGTTTTGGAACCCTTACTATTCCTGTTTTTAACAATTAGGGCACTAGAAAGGTAGATTGAACACTCAAGGTATGTGAGGTTTAAACTCCTGGAAATTGCCTGCTGAATCTACTAGAAAACCTTCTGGGAATAGGAGACAAAGGATTCTTCCTTCACACCCAAGGCATCTAGGCAAAGAACTTAAATTTTCTTTCACTGATAACAGGCAGAAAGTCTGCTCTTAGAAAGCCAAAGAAGTAAAGTCCTCTCAATTTTGACTGAGTTAAAGAACTCTTAAGGACCAATCTATAAATCAGTCTTACTGCAGCAGTAGATGATATGCACATAAACCTGAGAAATAGAAGCTGAGCGTGAATCCCAGGGTAGGCACGCACACATACTCTGTACAGGCACAGCCGACCATGGGCAGACTGACAGAGGAGGGCTGTACCTTTACAGGCAGCTGCATCAACAGGCAGCACAAACAGCCCTATCCTATTTCTGTGGTTCACTGTTCAAGGAAAACACCCTTCACAAATCTTGCTGATTTTTAGTTTCTCCACTGTCTTGCTTCCAGTCCCTCAGTCTGTAGAACACAATTCCCAGACCTTTCATCTTCCTGCTGGCTGGTACTGCTGGAAGTTTTCGAGTTAATTCCTTTTCCCCACACAGAGAACACACTTGCACAAAAAAACCAAACCAAACCAAAACAAAAAAACAACCAAAAAAACCCCAAACAAACCCCCCAAACCCAACCTAAAAATAGAGATTAAGAGGAGGATAGGACCAACTTTGGTGATCAGGTACAAGGTTGGCCAAAGTGTGGTGAAGAGCAGCCTCCCTACATGCAACCTGCCCTTTTATACCTCTTTCTTTGTTTTCTCATTCTTGTTCATCCCCCATCCACCTTTCCCCACCTTTGGCCCTTCCCCTAAATATCCCATAATAAATCTTGTACAATCCCCGAATTGTCATGTTCAGTCCCCAAATTCACCCACTTGGGCACTACATAATAAGGCTTATACCCTTTTAAGTAATCCCACTTAGTTTGCATAGCATTTAGAGGTTTTTTCTAATAGATTGCCTTAGCAGAACTTGCAGGAGAGACAATAGCTTAATGGTTTGTCTTTTATGGTCTTAGAAGTAGCTGATTCAGATGGATTAGGTTGGCTGTGTTCCCCACCTGTCATTGTTCCTCTCATCACTCACTCTCTATTTGAATAGCTGTTGCCTAGGTATCTGTACAGTGCAGAATAT